CTCCCTGCCTGGGGGGCCTGCGTGCCCGTTTCTCCCGGGTCTCGGGTCTGTCTCCGCTGCAGCTGCGCCGGGCCCAACACACCTGGGCAGTCCTGGCAGGACGGACCCGCCTGGCGGGAGCCCCGGGAACTGGGGCACTCCAGAGCGATCCTGGCCGCGCTGCCGCCGCCATCTCCAGCCAGGGAGCAGCAGCCCGCGCGGGAAGGGGGGCAGCCCCTGTCTCCCCCTGCTCCTCTCTTCGGTCCAGCCCAGTTCAGGCTCCTTTGTCCTCGTCTTAAGTGGGGCGTTCGCAGAGGCGCTGCCTGGCCCGAGGGGCCGCTCCGACCGGCTGCGGAGCCATGGAAGGCGGAGCCATGGAAGCTTTTTGCAGCTCCTGAGCGGGGCCGGCTCCGCAACCCCTCCCCTGCTCCCGAAATCCCACCACTAAACCCGGCACAAACATGAATCTGTGCTTTGGGAAACATCTTTCTTTCTCCGGTCACTTAAAGGCCAAAGGTGCAGCAGTGAAGGGCCTTTGTCACCCAACAGCGTTAACTCTTTCCTGCCTTCCTGTGCTGCCAAGAGTCACAAATGAATCTCCATCTTGGTACATCTACGTAATCTAGATCACCTGGATGGGCTAAGAAACTAAACAGCGTTAACTCTTACCTGCCTTCCTGTGCTGCCAAGAGCCACAAATAAATCTCCATCTTGGTACATCTACATAATCTAGATCACCTGGATGGGCTAAGAAACTGTGTGCAGATCAAAGTGCTGAAGTCTAAGAGGTTGAAAACCATTAAGGTGAGTCAGGTTGTTAATTCCAGATCAAATTTCCACAGACACTGGGACGTTCCAGCAAGGCTTCCAGCTTGGCGGCTTCATCTCTGCCATGGCCCAAACTCAAAACTCACATGCAACAAACACCGAATCCTGGGCTGAACCCTGGGGTTTGAACATCAAGAGACCAGTGTGGCCCCAAAATCCAGACATTAGCTTAAATGGCTAGAGATTTTAAAAAATAAAAATTAAAAAACAAACAAACAAACAAAAAACCAAACATACAAACAAAAAAACAAACATACAAACAAAAAAACAAGCACCTGAGATCTTTTAATTTCCTTCTGTTTGAGCTTCATGTTTCTCCATGCTGCACAGTTAGACCGAACACATTACGAACACTTTGATGTCCAGCTCCAGCACTGGAGTATTTATACTGGCCTCAGTGGGTTCCTGATGGGTTTGCAAGATGATGCAGGAGTAAGTGTTGGATGCATAGATCCGACTCAGCATAATTACAGGGACCTCACTTAACTCTCGGGTCTGGATTCAGAATCATCTCAATGATTTTTCACCAGCCTAGACCCCACTCTACGGCTCTACAGCCTTATACAAACAGCCCACCACCAGGAAACGACAAGGCAGGAAATTTGTGAAGGGGGACAACGTACAGTGTGATGTATCACTCCATCTTCTCTTTTTCAGCTACATCCTCTCCCAGTGCTAGGACCAACACATCTTCCCTTTTCGTATCCAGGTGGAGATAAACAAGTGAGTAGTGTCTTACCCTGATAAGACGCCCAGCACCAAGTTGAGCATGAAGAAAGAGCCAATGATGATGAGAGGGATGAAGTAAAGCCAGTTCCAGGTATTTCCTGCAGCATCATTTGTCTGGAAACCAAAAGAAAGGGAGAGAGGAAAAAACAAATATTAATCAGCCTCAGAAACAAAATACTGTACAGAAAGTGCAGGGCAGAGAGCAGGGGAGATTCCCCCCAGATTTCCGTAGAGCTGTCCACCACTGACGTACTGGTTAGTTCTGTCATGTTCACCAGTTCAAACGCCAGCAAAAGAATCACAGAATGGTTTGGGTTGGAAGAGACATTAAAGATTATCTAGTTCCAACCCCCCTGCCATGGGCAGGGACACCTTCCACTACACCAGGTTGCTCAAAGCCTCATCCAACCTGGCCTGGAACACTTCCAGGGATGGGGCAGCCACAGCTTCTCTGGGCAACCTGGTCCAGTGCCTCACCACCCTCAGAGGGAAGAATTTCTTCCTTAGATCTAATCGAAGTCTCCCCTCTTTCAGTTTAAAGCCATTGCCCCTTGTCCTGTCACTACATACCCTTGTCAAAAGCCCCTCTCCAGCTTTCTTGTAGCCCCTTTAGGCACTGGAACGTGCTGGAAGGTCTCCCCGGAGCCTTCTCTTCTCCAGGCTGAACAACCCCAACTCTCTCAGAAGAACTGATGAACCAAGTTGATTGTTCCACTGTCCGCACCATGATTTGTCATCAGCTCCAGCGAGAAGATGCATCCAACTCCACAACTTCTCCTTGCAGGGCCAAAACACACCTTTCAGTTACCTACCTCTGTGCAGGCTTTCTACACCAACCTACTTCCTCCTCACCTCAACTCTGACTTCCCATGTGCTGAGCATCATGTTTACGTCTGACTTGAGACCCACAACAACAGGAGGGAACCACAGCCTCCCGTTACTCTGTGCTGCCGTTAAGGCAGAGCATGGCACTGTGCCCAGAGTCTGAGCGTACACATGGAGCGGGAGAAGACGGGAAGTCTGCAACAAAACGAGGCATCTTCAGAGCGATCGCAATTCCACATGTGCTTACTCAGCACTTCGGGCTTCTGTCATCAAAACCGGCCTGAGGCTCCCTGAGTAAGCAGCAGTCTAGATTAAGGGGAGGGAAGGGTGGTTTAGTTTATGACAAAGTTTCTGCATTCATCGACCACGAGGGAGCTCTTGAAGGAACTGCTGAAAAGTGAAATGCCACGTGGCCGTCTACTGAAGCCAAGTACCGAGAAAAATGCAAATTCTTCTCTTGTGAGTGAAGAACGCAGCAAATTGAGAATCTGATGTTGGGTGTAAGGGAGGGGAGGGGGAAAGGGAGGTGAAAAGAAAAGATCCAGAGACATTCTCCTCCTCCTCTTCCTCCAGAAAATAAAGAATAACACAAACACAGAGCTTACCCACCTGCCCAACCGCAGAGGCTGGCAGAGACCAAAGAAACACTCAAACATCAACTTGCACAAAACGCGTTAATTCTAACTGATATCGGTGCTTTTTATTTATTATCTGTGGTGCAATCATATTTGCAAGCACAATTTTGCTTGCCAGAGGATTTACAGAAAGAGGAAGGGCTTTAAATGCATCCATGAACATTGCAGCCACACGGGTGCTTGATGCCACCTCGAAACGTCTCTGCATAAGTCGAAGTCACTCGATAAACAAGCAAACCCAACGCGTGAGTGACGTGGGTGACCGATGTCACAGCATTTCTTGCAGGTGATAACGCTTATGCCACTGGTGCAAGCAAATACCTTCCGAGATGTTTTTAATATGGTGCATATCTGCAGAAATTCTTCCTCAAGGAACATAACTCCGGATCAAACACATGACAAGCATCTCTCCAAATAGCAAACATCTTCAGAAATATCTGTGTCAGTTGATCAGTGACTCACCCGAGAGGAACAGGGACTAACTAACCTCGCTACAAACCCACCCCCGCTAAAGGCAAAACCAGCGCGTGACAGACAAATGAATTTGAAGAGAAAACCAGCTGGTAAACGAGAGCAGAAAGGCAGGGAAAGCTCTGCACAGCCCAACCTCTCATTACGATTTTTTAATGCCTTTTGCAATACCTGTCATCCCATCCCAGCAGCACCACGTCTTCATTCACTGTTTTGTCTTTCCAGTCCTCTCGGCTTTTGGCTCTTTCCTTTCCCTGTTCTCCTGCACCGTGTCTCTACAGATGGGTTCGGAAGAAGCAGGGACACTCATCCTCTTCCCCAACGCACGGGGAAGGCGCCTGTGTGATAGTTTGATGTGGGGGGGGGTGTT